GTAATCGCGTTTCTGATAAATGTTTATCGATTGACAACAAGACTGACAGTAATTAACAAATATTTGCATATTTTAATTCAATTTCAAGTCTAATTTTTATAAAAATGATGTTTTAAATGCATTATTAGTATTCATAAAAATTTATTAGTGAACATGTAGTCAAATAAGGCAATTACACAGCATTTCATTTACAGTTATAGTTTCAACTGAATTAAAAATAACTAAACATTGATTGCATTTTTACTTTGAATAAAACTTCTTCTCATTGTTTACATGGATTTCAATTGTCTTGAGTTTAGGACTCGAAGACAACACAGCATTCAAATCATTGTCCGAGAGATCAATGTCTTGATAGCAGTGAATGACAAGCGTTTGCAGCGCCGGTAGTCTTGAGATGTGTGACAAACACTCGGTGTCTATAATGTTGTCGAAGTCACGAATGTATAGATATTGAAGTCGTGAACAATTTTGGTGACAATTTTCCAACACTTTTGCTAACTTTGGCGTTAATATCAGCTCTAAATGTGTTAATCTCTTGCAGTGTTTAAACGGATTCGCATTGATATCGATGTTTATATATTCTAATTGCAAGCGCTTTAATCTGTGATAAGATCCCAACGAATCCAATGTTAATTGTATTGAATAATCGGGCGATGAGATCAACAATAGTGTCAATCGTTGCAATTGTTTGCAGTTTAAGCCAATTGTACGCAAAGACTCGTTCACCGATAGCTTATCCACACATAACTCAAACCCGAGTCTCAAATCCCGTAATTGCGTTAATCGTGACAATTGGACACTCATTTGGTTAAGTGTTTCCTGAGTTTTAACATCAGTCCTAAACGTAAGACTTCTTAGTGACTGATTGTGTGCCACAAATGCAGACAACTGTAATCCCGTAATTGCGTTAATCGTGACAATTGGACACTCATTTGGTTAAGTGTTTCCTGAGTTTTAACATCAGTCCTAAACGTAAGACTTCTTAGTGACTGATTGTGTGCCACAAATGCAGACAACTGTCCCTTAAGTTGGTCTCCATAGTAGCTCTCAAATTTCGTTAAATTCTTGGCCAATATATGTCTGGAAGTGCTGTCGAAGACATCGGCCAAAGAGATGACATTTAAATGAGACAATCGGTTGCAATGAATGAGTGATTGACTTTCACTTTTGGGTTCAATTCCGTTAATAAGTGATCCAAATATACGAAACTCTTTACAGAAGTTACCGATTCGTGTGATCAGTGCTAACAATGAACTCATTGTTTGCGAACTATTTTCCCGTAAATTGCAGTAAATTTCCCGCAAATGCCGACAATTGTCTCGAAATATTTGCAACACTTCGGGAACAAGTTTCTCGTATTTTTTGGTTATTCCTCTGCAGTCAATGGTCTCAATGTTTGTCAATTTTATGACAATTCTGGTCAACAATTGTCTCTTAATTTTCTTCCTCTTCAATATTTTGTTAATAAATCGGTCGCTAAGAGTGATGTCCACAACACTCTCGAANAGTTTCTCGTATTTTTTGGTTATTCCTCTGCAGTCAATGGTCTCAATGTTTGTAAATTTTATGACAATTCTGGTCAACAATTGTCTCTTAATTTTCTTCCTCTTCAATATTTTGTTAATAAATCGGTCGCTAAGAGTGATGTCCACAACACTCTCGAAGACTGTCCTCTGGAACTGTTTGGACACACATTCGTAACGGAATCGGTCTTCGAATGTGAGGTAAGACACTATAAGTGCACACAAATCATCACCGAATCTGTCCATTGAGTTCTTCGCGTAAATCTTAGGCTAAAATGTGAAACAAAAACAATGAAAACTCAATAAAAATTCAACTGTTTGTCAAATACCTGTTGTTTGTTGTCTTCATTGCCGTCATCTGTGGTCTCGAGTGATGTCATCTTTGGTATCTACTGTTGTTCCATATCTTGGGATCAAATGAAGTGATTGTATGAATAAATTGTATTTGTTATGAAATGAGATGTTATTTGCATTTAAATGGTGTGTAAAACACGTGTTTATATTGAGACAAATGCATAAAGTATAACATTTTGGACACTATTTTTGCCCACAATTTTAATGAGTGCTTAATTCTAATTAATTAATTATTAATAATTAGAAATCATTAGAAATCTATAAAATATTTTTATTTAATTAAATCAATAAAAAACAATGAATAAACAAAGAGTTTTAAACATTTAAAATATGAATACAATTAAACATTAATTAGTGTTAACTTAGAATAATTTATAAATAAAATATGAAATTATTGTATTTTAATTAAATAAAAATTTTCAATGTAATGTTTAAAACGAAATTCATTTAAAAATTCTAAATGAAAAATTATATAATTAATAAATTGAATTGTATTAAAATGTATGGAATTTTTATAAACATTTATTGCATTTTTACTTTGAATAAAACTTCTTCTCATTGTTTACACGGATTTCAATTGTCTTGAGTTTAGGACTCGAAGACAACACAGCATTCAAATAGTCATCTGAGAGATCATTATATTCTTCCAACGCATTGATTACAAGCATTTGCAGCGCCGGTAGTCTTGAGATGTGATACAAACACTCGCGAGTCATCTCATTATTCATATCATAAATGCATAGATATTGAAGACGCCGACAATTTTTATTGCAATCTCTCCACACTTTATTCAATTGCCTGACGTTAAGCTCTAAACGCGTTAACCTCTGGCAGTGTCTCAACGGATCCAACAATCCGTCCATCACTTGAAAGTCAAACACTTTTAAATCCAATTGTTTTAATTGCGGGAAAAATCTTAATGATTCAAACGAGTGGCCAATCAGTGAGTCTGGCGTTGAATACACAGTGAGTGACAATCGTTGCAATTGTTTACAATTCACGCCAATTGTACGCAAAGAGTCGTTCATAAATTCGTTGAGTTCTTGCGTCACTTTAACGAATCCGAGTCTTACACTCAGTTCCCGTAATTGTATTAATGGCGACAATTGTGTCGACATTAAGACAAATGTTTCCATATTAACGCTCTTTACGACAAGACTTTTGAGGCACTGATTGTGTGCCACAAAATAAGTGAACAGTTCTGTGCTCTCAATTGAGTTCAATTCAATTCGCTGTAAATTCTGGGCCGAAGAGGCGCCGGAAGTGGCGTCGAAGAGATCCAAGAAGCGAATGCCAGTTATATGAGACAATCGGCGGTAATAATAGAGCGATCGTCTCATCGAGTTAGACATCCCATAGAGTCTTGTGATCAGTGGT